AGATAGATAGATAGATATAGAACTGGTCAGGAGTACTCACATGTTGCAAACCTTCTGATGCCTTTGTCCTAGAAATCTATGTAATTAATGCTTAATTGCAGCAAAGAAGAGTTTTACTTTTTCTCATGTTTGCACACAGCATAAGGGGGTCTCAATGCAGATCTTGGTCTACTGTGCTTCCTTTTCTAACCTGGCTACATTTGAGCTCAAAAAGGAGAAGTGCCTTGAATATGGAAGCCTCGGCACAAACCAAATTACGGGTGGAGAGGCTTTCTGAAAACACTCAGCTGTCGTTTTTTGTCTGTTTATAGATTGTTCTCCAAACTCTGCTGGCCTTTGCAGTTACCTGTTACGGGATTGTGCATATTGCAGGAGAGTTTAAAGACATGGATGCTACTTCAGAGCTAAAAAATAAGTATGTCCCTTTCTTTTTCCTCGAGTACTACTACTCTAATTGGTTGTTGTCATGCTATTTCAGGCCAGGTAGGAGTGGACTCTCACTCTTCAGCTCAAAAGGGAAAACAAGAGTGTTGTTGACCAGATGCCAACAATGAATGCCAGGGGAGGTACAAGGCTCTGCTTAGCATCTTCCTCGGAGAGAGGAGGAGGATCATATGGGGCCTCCTCTTCATACTTCTCCCTCCCTCAGAATAGCCCTGCCAGGGGAATTAGTTATGGGAGCTATATTGCAGGGAGAAAATTAACCGTGGGATCCAGTGGGCACATGTGAGAAGTGCATGTTGGAGGGAAAGACTATTAACAGGAGTGAGCTGACTTAAAGGTTGCTCAGTTTGGTGGGAAAGGGGCGGTGGAGTTGAAGAATAAACACAGGTCACTTAACAAAAAAGGGTGACATTTTGACTGGATGGTATGAGACTTTAAACCAGAAAGCCTTCCTTGGATGCAGGGCTACTTCTATTACTATTCTGTTCTTCCGATTAATAGAATTTAGGACATTGGGAGCGAGACTCGTGCTGTCGTTTTTCTCCCCTTTTCCACTAACCCATCCGCCTGGCTCAGCTTCATTTACAAGCTAGGTTCTCAGAACGGATGAAGCAAAAAGGCTCATTTGCCAAGTACACACTGCCATCTTAGGCCCTTTTGGAGAAAGTTTGAGGCCGATGGCCTCAGCTAGGGATGGAGTCACAGCCAGCAGAAGTTTGGGGAATTAACATGCTGTATCGCAATTAATAGCAAGCCTCAGCTAACGAGTTGAGTTTGTACAAATCTTGAAGCAAGGCCAGTTCTGCACGGTAAGCGTCAGGGCTTGTCACGGCTGACAGAGGGCATGGGGAAATCAGTTGTAGGATTGTGGAGAGGGAAGGGGTCATCAGCTCCAGCCCTCTGCAGTATGCAAGCAAGCCAATTAAGCCGTGGTTCTCCAGCCTCTTAAGAACCTTCCATCGATGGAGAAGCCACCATCTCTGGTTCTTGGTCCAAATTTTGTAGCTTAGCAGCAATCCCCCATTTTTTTTCCTCTGCTGCTTGGTGTATGGCAGTAATGTTTTATATTTCAGGAGAAGAGACAGGTAAGATTTAAGTGTGCCCATATTTGTTTCTATCCAATGTCTAAAATTCTCTCTGAAACGATTGCTTGCCAATTACAATAGCTGTTCTCAGTCGATGTTAATTCCAGTCTCTCCCGTTTTCTTTTTTGTTTTAGGACATTTGACACATTAAGGAACCATCCATCCTTTTATGTATTTAATCACCGGGGCAGAGTGTTATTCCAGTCCCCAGACACTGTCCACTCTTCCTCCAGCCAGGATGCTTTGTCATCCAGCACATCACTGAAGTTGCGAAAACTTGAACCTCTGCACCGCTAAACGAGTTTTTTTTTATAGACAATTCTAAAAATAGGACACTGAGCTGTAATATTGGAGCTGGATATAAACTTTTTTTTTTTTTAAATTTCTGGAGCAGTATTTATATTGACCTTCCAGGCTTTATAGTAATGTGTGTGTGCGCCTGTGTATACGCACTCGCGCATGCACACATACATGAATATATTAAAAATATATTAAAAGGACTTTTGAACACTGGTCACAACTAAAATTGTGAATTGGCAAACTATGAAAGTTACTGCTAAAATTACGCAGTGAAATAATGCATTTTACCTTTCATTAAAGCACTATGGTTAAACTCACTTCTGAATTATCAAAATCTGTGTTACCAAATGCAGGTGGAGGTTTGAATGGACTAGAGAAGCACAGAAATGGGTATGTTGTATTCTTTTGCCCCACAGCAAAATGGTTGCAGGGGGCTTGCCTGCTTTGCTGCCCTCCCTGAAGCTCTCAGCTGAGTCCTTGACACGACGTGGTAATTTCTGCATCTCGTTTATTAGTGCTCTGTGTGTGGAATATCTGGCCAGCAGAGCCAGTCAAGATTAATCTTTTACAAGTAGGAATTTAGCCAACATTTTGCCAAAGGGGTATGGACTTGATTTATCAGTTAGGCATTGACTGCAGGTTCCCTGAAATGCTCAGAAATAATGAAAACCTGTATGCTTTTTGAGAAGTCACAATGGCTGGGCCTTAGGCCAACCAGGACACAGGACTGATTCATGACAGCTGTAACCCGTTCACTTCTGTCATCAAGCTCTTCATTTATATCATCATCAAGGTGACAGGCGGCTGGGGGAGACCGAGCTAGGGAGGGGGAAAGTGCTTTAGCAGCATGTGCAAGGTTTGGGATTGTGTCTTGTAATGATTTGATTTCATTTTTTTGATCGTGCCTTTTGATTTGGCTCCCACTCATCGTAGGTGCTTTTAAAAACAGGATAAAGGCAGATTGCCCGTAGGGTTCCGGTTTGAGCAACTGAACACGCTCAACTGGTTTTTCCACTGTGCTACATTTTTTCCCCAATCCAATTGTCTGTGATCACCAGACTTCTTCCAAAATTACCCACCTTGTAATATTTGGGGGTGGGAGGCAGAGCGCTAGAAGTTCCCTTCAGCTCAATACGTGTTCGCTCCAAGCTTGATTTTTTTTTTTTCACAAGAATGTAATCCAATTTCAAAATTAGCAGCTCAAGATGTAGAGAAGTTGAATGTCTCGTCTTCAGGAGCATCGATTGCCCCATGCGTCTCCAGGGCTCCAAATGGGTGAGAAGTCGGGTGTGCTCGCGATTGAAATGAAATGCATGCACTTTACAGATCGTGGGACAGGATCTTTCCCTTGGATGGCAACCACTCCGGGGCAGGACAACCATGTGGCAAAACCCAGCGTTGTTTGATCTTGGCAGTGCTCTGGCCAAAGGATCGGAATGGTAGACTTGACTGTGGTAAATATTGGCCTCTCAAAACCTGACCCTGGTACCAATTGGTTTAAAGTTGTGGTCCTTCGTTTGAATTAAACCCACCCGTAGCCTTGTATTCTTTCTAGGTGAAACTTATCAGACACCTATAAGGCAGCTGGGTGGCACTGTTGGGTCATTTTCTTCCCAATATCCTGGTGTTAAAGATAGCCTGCTCAAAGTAGCTGCCCATTGGCTATTCTGTCCCTCATTCCTTTCTGGGCGATTGTTTCTTCCAGCAGGTTTTAAATTGTCTTGTATCCAAGTAACACCCTCCAGCCCAAAATTCAAGGCAACGAAGTGGGCAATTAATAGGGATTGTGACACCCAAAACAGCTCTATAAAATGCCTATGGAGTGTTTTGCTGTTTTAGTATATGCTGTTCCAAGCTGGAGTCCTTGTTTGTTCTTTATCCAGATGGTTTTGTCAAGAACTTGCAAATTTTGCTACAAAGAGGCAGCCTTTCTCCAAAGTGTTCTGGCCTTTTCATGCATTTGTTCTGGATTTGGCACTCTTGTTCAAGCACCTTCTGGGTCTCTAAAACTTGCAAGAAATAAACAGGTTCCCTTTCACTATCCATGGTTATTTTACAGATGTGCAAATTTTGTTCTTTCCCCTTTTGGTCTTGCAATGTCCAATAATAAAGAACTAATATTACAAAAGAGTGTAAGAATGATTTTTGCAGACTTTTTCTGTTTTACTGGTGTTATAAACTTCTGAAAAGAGTTCTTTAATCTGAAGGATTATGGATTTCTCTGAAGGGACGGGTGAAAGTACCTTTGGGGCTCCTGAACTGATTCATTACGCCCCTCACAGTTCAAGAAAAACATTAGGCAACAGGAAGGGAAATTAGTTGATGCACAGAATGGTTATATCCCAACATAGACACTGCCACCTCCTATCTGTCTGGCATCTGTAAACAAGCCCTTAATTACAGTCCCACAATTGGGTTGCATAGGGGATCAACGGGCCTAATTCAGGGGAATACAAAATTGAAAATGCCCACTTCCAAAAAGGTCCAAAACGAAGACCAAAACAGCCTTGATTCATGTCTTCTTGGCTGTGCTGGATGAAAAGTGTGACTCTTTTGAGCTTTTGGGCTCCACTTCCTGCAATCCAAGCCAGGTTTCCGTTCCTCTCCCTGGAGATGCTGCTGCTGCTGCTGCTTTGGTGCAGGAAAACAAGAGACGCAGCAGCACAAGTCACCAGAGGTGGGTTTTGTTTTTAGCACTCTCGGGGCCATTGTGCTGCTTTCTTCCAGCAGGCCTGAAAGGGAAATTCTGCCTCGACTGAAAGCTGGAACGGGGCCTGCCAATATGATCAATAGTTTCTGCAGGCAAGATATTTTTTTTATTTTTTTGGCCTGCAACCGTCAGGTACTTTTGCAGCTGATGCAACACAGAATTTCCGTTCCGAGCAACGCCTACGTCCACTGGATTCCTATTATCCCGCGATGAACTACTGGAAGTGACAAGCAAATTTAAATATCCAGGCCTCCCCGGGGGGACATGACGTTTCTAAATTATCCTCTTGGCTAAAATCGGAGAATGGAGCAAAAGCAGACATTTCTTCAACACTGAAAGAAACTTGATCTACAATTAGGAATCCCCAAGCCCCAGCCTACTGGACCGTGAGCCATTCAGAACCGGGCCATGGGAGCGGTTGGCGAAGTGCGCGCTGCATCCTCCCTGGTGTGAGCAGGCACACTTCATTTTCACAAGCAGCAAGGTGTGCATGCTGGCTACCAAACTGCACCCGCGAAGGCAATTCTCCCTCTCCAAAACTGAAGCCATCCGGCTTCCTCCCACATGCTCTCAAGAGGGATGCAGGCAACAGCATCCCATAATCTTAGGCTGGTTACACTCAGGAAAGTCACCAGAGCCTGCCTCTTTTACCATCCGTGCGATCCCTTCCTTATCCGGACAAGAGGGGGGTGGATAGCGGGTTGGGTCCAGTTGTTTGGAATGATCATTCCCAGCCCTCTGCAACGGGCAAAAGCTGAAACCTCTGGAGCGCAACTCGAGTTCCCAGCAGCTGCACGGCAAACCTCTTGGCCCCAAGAGCAGAATAAAGTGCTCAGCAACCCCAAGTTGGAGCCGGCTGTGACAGGCTGAAGCCTAAGGGGACAAAAGTCACACACCCCCTCGGGCCTGCTTCAAAGGCAGCTGGATGGAGCACCAGGGCAAGAGAAAAGAAGCCGCCGTCAACCAGCAACCGTCAGCAGTTCAACGACATTCAACCGGAAAGAGTCACGGAGGCGCAGAGTTTTCCTCCCTCCCACGGTTATTTTTTTTACGCTAGTAATTGGCACGCTAGTAAAAAACACCCACACCCACCCACCCCACTTTCAGATTAGGCACTCCTTAGAAAAAAAATCATAAAATGATTTTTATTATGTACAAGTGCTCAAAAAAATTTATAT